AGGGTCCCGGGGCGCACGCGGGCTCCACGCCTGGCACTGCCCTGGCGCGGCGGGGCGCGCGCCCCCTCCCATCCCGGGAAGCGGGGGTCTTCGGCACGTGGAACAGGTGCCGCACTCGCGGGGTGGGGAGTGAGCTGCCCGTCCGGGGAGGGAAGCATGGCGCAGAGCCCGGATGACCTCGAGGAACCTTCTCACGGTGCAAGCCCCACTCCCTCGGTCTCACTCCTGTTCGTACCCGCCCTTAGCAGCGGGCTGTTGGTGCCTGGCACACACACAAAACGCTCAGAAATGTCAGCCACCAATACTAATATCATTATCATCATCATCAACATTAAGGTAAGATTGGGCCAACAGGACAAGTCATCCGGGCAGGAAGCCTCTTGTGGAGCAGCCCTCTTTGGAGGATAACAGCGCGGCCTGGGGTGGGGGGCACACAGGGGCTGCCCTTCTCCCAGTCTGGGTGTCTCTTCTGTACAGCAGGAAGGATAGAACCAGCTTGGACCTCACAAAACAGGCGGATCTCATTTGGTGGACGTCACACTGGGCGAGGCCCCCAGCGACCACTCTGTGAGCCCTCAACTAACCATAACTCTGATATCATAATTTCTAAGGGAAGAGTCCTCTAGGGCAAAAATGTAACTCGTCTTAAAAAGCCAATGAACCAATATGCCCAGCTAGCCCGTGCCCATGTTTAAGCTCCTGTGATCCCAAAAGGCTAAGTGTCTATCACTCGAATGCATGGCATGATTTGGAGGAATAGAGGCCCATCTTTGAGAACAACAGAATATCCCTGTTATGGAATATTATGCAGCAAAAACTAGGAAACTATATGCATTAAAAGGATAAAAATCTCCAGTTGTCAAAAACCACCACCACCACTAGGATGCTGTACAATATGATCCCATTCATGTTATAAGCAAGAGAAAAAACCCGAAGGGAAAGTTCTAGAAGGGGACCCTCCAACTGGCAGCAGGGTTGTCCCCAGGAAGGAAGTAGGCAGAAGGAGGGGGTGGAGAGGACAGCTTCCTTTAGTGGTGCTGGAATTTATTATTAGCAGCAGTGTCTGCGGGGAGATGCCTCTGTGCAGGACTCCCCGTGTCTACGATTTTAGCACCCACAATTCCACGGATCTGGCTGTGGAGTCATCCAGGGTGTGGCTTCCCCTGAAAGGGGTGCATTCGGGTGGGGTCACTGGGGAGGGGAGGACACCATATACAGCAAACCATCATCACTTGCTCGAATAGAAATGTCAAGTCAACATAGCTGCGGCGGAAACCCAACAGCATCTTAGATTCTTACGAGAGACTGCTGCTGCCCACAGGCCCCAGCCCAGGGCTGCCTTCTCTGCTCAACAGGGACGTGTTGTCAATGCTCCACATTAGAGGGGCATTTACAATGCCCTGGCCCCCTGTTGAGACTTTCTCCTTCATGTACCCAGAGAGATAGGAAGAGGGTGGAAAGGGACCTGCTTTCTCTCTCTGCAAGTCCATGACACTTAATGTCAGCCCTCCCCTGGACCCCCTGGGTCCTTGTCCCAGCTTCTGGGAGGCCCCACCCTGGAAGCAATGATCAGAGGAACCAAGAGTGTTGAGCCAGGAGAAGGATGGACTTAGGGAGACAGCATCAGGTTCCCAAATCTCTAAGGGCTAGTCTAGGGTGCCGGGAGCTCCCCCCACCATGTATGGGCATAGGGCACTGAGCTGTGCTTAATTCTAGGGGGAGATATTTGAGCCCATAGTTTATCTGGGTCAGACACAGAAAGGGTAGCCTCAGCAGGGAGTGAGCCCCCTGTCCCTGGAGGCATCCAAGAAATGGCCACTTGTAATCACATAGACTCCATCACTCTTCCAGTCCCCAGAGGTGGCAACACCAGTTTCTCCTTACTCCTGCCAAGAAGCTGAGGGATTCGCTCCTCCTTTCTACCAGTTCCTGGCTCCTCTCCCTCCACATCTCATCCTTCTTGATCTCCTGTTGACTTCATTTCAGAAATTCTCTGATCCCCAGGCCACCCTGGTGCAGGCTGGTGACACAGCAGTCCTCTCCTTGGTCTCCCAGTTGCCTCCAGATTTTATGCTTCCTACCATTCACCTTCCACTGCATAGCCAAGGGATGGAAATGTGACTGTGGCCCTCACTTGCTCTAAATCCTTCCATGGCTCCCCACTGCCTACAGAATAGAGCCTAAAACACTCAGTCTGGCATACAGAGCTGTTCATGTTTGGCCTCCAACTGACCTCCCAGGTCTTGTCTCTTTCAGTTCCCACCAAGCACCCAACTCTCTACCAACTGTAAACTGTAGGAGTTTCCATCCATGCCTTTGTGCCAGCTGTCCCCTCTGCCTGCAGTGCCCTTCCCCCTTGTCCAGCTGGCATCTCCAAGCTCCTCCTCCCATGCCCAACTCATGTGGCACCGTTTTTGTGAAGCCTTTCACAAGGACGCCCCCACCCTTCTCAGATGAGTCCCCCTCCTATTCTCTGAAAGGACCCCTCCCTGGAGGTACCAACTCTCTCTTCTCACTGTATGATGGGCGTAGACTTGGCTGTCTTGGCGTGGCCTTGGTGACTGAGCTCATCAGCCTATCTGAGAAGGAGGCCAGCCTGGAGGAAGCATAGCGGAGAAAAAACAGAGAGAGACAGAATCCTGAGGGAAGAATTCAAATCCTTGGTTCCAGCCCGGGGTTCACATTATGCCTAGTTTTGGAAGCAAGTCTTTGTTTTTTTTATTCCTTCAGGAGGGGGTTTCTGTTGCTTGCAACCAAAAGGATTCCTAGTACTCAAAATGGTACCAGAAGTGGGGTGTCAAAATTAGCAGGCTATAATGTGAGAATGGTGAGTCAAACTAAATTGCCCTGGCTGGTTAGCTCAGTGGGTTAGAGGGCAATGTTGTAACACCAAGGTCAAGGGTTCAGACCCCAATACTGGTCAGCTGCAAAAAAAAATAAATGAATAAAATTTTTTTTAAATAAAAAAGTTAAATTGCTCTAGGAAGAGGGATGTCTTGGGTGTCCCTTTCTATGAATCCACCTTCCATTCTCTGAGTCAGATGGCACAGGGCTTCTGTCACTCATAGTGGAGGAGCCCTGATGGACACAGTGATCTTTCCATCTCCTCCCTCTCCTGAACACCTTTCTTTTACCCACCCAAATCTCA